AGTGCCACTTGAGCTAGCTTCATTTGAGCTAGTGTCATATTTGGTCTAGTTCATTTGTGCTAGTTCCCGAAATTTATTTGAAATATATAGTTCCCTGAGATGCTCAGCCATGTTTACCATGAAAAAGTTCGGTCTCGTTGTATATATTTCGTTCGTTCGATTATGTATAACACATTTCAGATTTCACATGTTCGGATGTTGGTGTACTTAGTTCAGATGCCCTTTTGCCGGAACAAACATATATAGTTTCTTCAAACCTTAAAGGCAGCCCGCCCAAATCTTGATGTTTCGGATTTAAACGTTCAGTGTGATAGCATATCCCACGCCACGAAGGAATTCCGCCCGCTCTATGGTGCCTTCCGCTAGTCTGGTTATAAGTGTTGTCAGGCGTTTATTCATATTTTTAACAGTTTTCTTGGATTTTTGAACGTCATGACCCGCCTTAAACCTGAAAAGATCGTTAACTTGCCTAGTAACAACTTGTCTTTCGGTATGATATCGTAATGATATTTGAAGTATTCTTTCGGTAGACAAAACCTTCGAAGCTTAATTTGTCCCCACCCCTTGATGACTTAAAAATTTCCATAGCTACAGCCGATAACCCGTAATTTGCGTCTATCACACAACAAATTTACCTCGCTTCAGTCGAAACAGAAAAGGAATGAAAGCTGCCTCGTGAAGTTCTGTAAAAAAATAAAATAACCGCAAAATCTTTTCCTCGTGAGTCTAATTATTGTGCCAAGCATGATAATACACCTCCATCATGGAAATGAGTCTGCTGAAAGCTAGACGAAATTACGGCACTAGACCAAAGGCACTAGCTCAAATGAATGGCACTTTGGCACTAGCTCAAACGAAACTAGCTAAACTGGCGCTAGACCAGCTGAAGCACTAGACCAATTGCACTAGCTCAAAAGGCACTAGACCAAATGATACTAGACGAAGAGAGTGGCACCCGTTTATGACGTTTATGAGCTTTATTCGTCCGAATACTGCAAAGCTGATATGGTTCTATTCTACTGCATTGATTAGTTTATTCATTTCTCAGCAATCGAAGCACCCATACAACACACCCAACTGTCCACGTGCAGACGCGGGGTGGGTCGGTGCGCCGTGCGCTGTGCGGGGCCGGGGCCTGCAGCCCTGGCGCCAGAGCGCCACACGCTGGTCACGCTCGGCAGTAGCGGACAGTGGGCACTGTCAGAGCTCAGTAACGGACGCAGCGGTGGTCCCCTGTGGACCCGGCAAGTCCCGACACTCGCTAAACTCCGTGTAACAGGATAATGATACAAGCAGACCCATTACAGCGTGCAAGGTCCGCCGCACGCGCTGCCCTCTGTTCCGCCCCATCACATTTGGAGAGGTTAAAGGCGGCGCCCGAGCGCGCGCTGCCAGACCGGGCGTTATCACAATGAGCTCCTGTTACGTCCACACTGCAGGAATACCAGACTATGGAGGGCCTTTGTTCGGGACTCGGGGTCCACAATCGGCACCAAGACCTCATATGTTGGAATTGTTCTCTCCTCTTGGCTACAATATGGATTTTGTAATTCGATGGGATGTCATCAGTTTTCGCCCACGTTATTAATGCTCTTGTTTTTCCCGCATTGGCCTGCTTGGGTATGCGAGCGGCGCATTCCATTTTGACCGTCAAATTACGTCTGATCTGGCCGAGCGGTCCGTTTTCAGAATTCACCGAGAGCTTTGACCTCATTTACCGCCAAAATATTCTGAGCAGAAGATGTGGTTTCTATCCATCTGGGCTAATTTTCATCGGTGTGAAATTAAATTTTAATTTGTGGTTAGAATCATTTCTACGGCCAAGCTTTCTGGCGCTGCCTTGACGCCGAGTTGCTTTGGCAAGAATGCTTAACTGCCTCTTCAGGATTCGGGTATGCAAATTGTCGCTGACGGCTCCCAGCCTTCTTTTGATCGTCCTTAATTTTTTTTCAGCATATATGGACTATGGAGGCTAGGCCAAAGACTCGTAACTGGCGAAGTAAATAGGAAGGCGCTCCAGACCCAGGCTTCTAAAAGCTGATGTGACAATGTCTAACGAGAAGGGAATTAAATAATGTCTTGAGAGCCCTGTTGGGGCCAGACTAATGAATGCGATTATCGCCAGCTGTGTGCATGCATACATATTAGGTACAGCCGAAGAAGTCCTGAACCAACGCAAAGAGAAGGTTGGTGGATGCTCTTGCTTACACAATACACGGAAGCTGCAGCTCTATGGAGTGGGCACGCGCTGGTTCCGTAGCTACCTGGCCGACCACTATCAGCGCGTGCAGCTGCAGTCCGCCGGACAGTCGCTTCGCCGTACGATCTCCCGACCTCTTCTCAACCCTATTGGAACTTTCCAAGGTTCAGCCCTCGGGCCATTACTCCACAACGTCTATGCCAACGATCTCCCGCTCTACATCGACGAGTCGACCAGCACCATCGCCTACGCTGATGACGTCCAGTTGTACGTCTCTGGCCCACCGAGAGACATCGTCCGTCTCACGGAATCTCTCGAAGACAGCCTGACTTCTCTGTCCAACTGGTACGGCAAGAACGGACTGAAAATAAACGCAGCGAAGACTCAGCTGATTGTCCTTGGCACCCGTGAGATGACACGGCGGCTGCCTCCGATTAGCATCAACTTCTCCGGCTCCACCATCGCCAGCTCGAGCACCGTCAAAAACCTTGGTGTGTGGTTCGACAGTGATATGACTTTCGTCACGCACACAGCCGATGTAGTGCGGCGGTGCACTGGCACTCTGTGTGGACTCAGCCACAGCAGGCATTGTCTCCCTCAGTCAGTGCTGGTCACATTGGTGCAGGGGCTGGTGTTGTCGGTCATCCGATACTGTCTAGCTGTGTATGGCGCTAGCAACGTGAAGCCTGTACAGCTACCACTGTCTGGCACTAGTTAACAAGATGCTTACCACTGCTGAGCCGCAGCAACTTGCTGATAGTCTTGTGACACGAGCGAGTCTTCACGGCAGAGACACTCGTGGTGGAGAACAGCTAGCTACCCCTGCCATATGTACGGAATCGGGACGCCGCCGCTTTTTGTACTCCGCAGTGACGGAGTACAACGGGCTTCCTCCAGCACTGCGCAACGTAGGTCAGGCTGCTTTCAAGGCCAGACTGAGAAAGCACCTTCATGAGCGCGAGCAAGTGACGTAAACGGCGGTAAATGTATGCTGAATGTGTTGTCAATTTGTCTGATCCGACTGTGTGAACTGTGATGCCGCGTGTTTGTTTCATCATCATTGCCCCCCATTCTGTATCTGACTCGAGCATGTAATAGCCGTATTTTTCCACGGATTTGCCTCACGATGTGAAATAAATAAATAAAATAAATAAATAAATACACAGGCATTCACAGAAAAAAGCCTTTTAGGGTCACACGACCTAGCCTCAGCCACAGCTCAAGATTTAGCGCCCTTCTCTGCGTCTGAGCGGTCTGTTGTATGTGCGATCATCATGGAAGTAACTTTGATGCATATTACGCCTTTTATTGAAACTGGTTTGAAAATCATTATCTTACCAGTGCAGTGGGGCAGTGATATAATACATATTCCTACTGCACACCTGCATACCTGCATCACAGGTGGCCATCGTTTGTAAGTACAGTGTGACGGGTAGACTGACACTTGCCCGATACCGTGGTCATTATTTCTAGGCCTCGTCTCCCCACCTTCTGCGAGACCACAGAGCCACATCGCATGTCCCGATGAAGATAACAATAAAGACAAATGCGCCGTCACGCTAACTCGTCGAGAGGTCATTTCTCAGAGATGCCACGTCTTGGGGCACATCTTCATCAGATGCTGGGCGATGGGACGGTCTTGAATTAGCTCCGTGTCAAATCGGCTGCCGGCTGGGCTCTGGTCTGTTGTGGTCCCTGGCTGATGATTGGTGCTGAACAGTCACGCACGCAGGATGCCTGGAGGCCGGGTGGAACGGCTGGCCTTTTCTGGGTGCTCCTTTTTAGCGGCCCACGCTGCGCCGAACGCCTGTTGTGGGCGGGGCGCAGAGTTTGATCGAGCAGAATAGTGGCTGATGCCCGGAGCCCTGATTACGGAGCACCCAGGGGCGGCCGGTGATCAGAAAACGGACTGCCGCCCCGCACTGAAGATCGCCCAGTCTGCAGCAACACGCTGGGCTCGCGACTTTCTGGGCTTTGTGGTCCGAGTGGAATTGGGTCAAAACGGATGCACTTGTTCTTGAAATGTGGTGCATGGGAATGGGATAACCGCCAGGCAAAATGAACAATCGAAGAAGATATATGAATGAGTTCATTGTGCTTCGTGAAGGACAAATATAAGCAGAAAAAAACATCGATTGAATAAACAAGATGATATTGGAGACATCTTCGTTGAGAAATACACCGATTTGCTTTCTGAGGAATGTTTTGTTTTTGTCGATGATAAATGGGGGTATGAGTGTTGATACCTCGTTCTGGATGTTCCCATTGTCTCCACTGCTGGATAAAACACATCACAGGCCCGCAGAGCCACCCTTCACCCTTCACATCAGACGGCAGGACACTGAACACTGAACAGTGAGCACACACACCGTCAGCGAGGGTAAAAGGAATAAACAGACTGTCACGGACGTAAGCAGTTCTGGGGCGGGACTTTGAAATCCCATGTCTGTCGCGACTGGACATTGTGACGGGATTGGAAATCGGTTCCGGTTCACTGTGCCGTGTTAATCCCGAAATCACAGCCCGGCCCTCCGCAGGGCGCCTATCCTAAGCTGGAGCGCGAATTATAGCGCATTGTTTCCCAAAACCAGAATCCATCGAGTTCCCCTTGCGCCGGACACAGTCCCCAGTTTCGTCCAGCCGATGAGCGCGCGGCCCTTCAGTCCCCTTGCACCAGGGGTCCTCTGCCTATGAGCGGCTCCGCTGCCCTCCCCTCTGGATCCTCGGGAGCCGCCGGACCCCGGGAGCCCTCCCGGGGCGCTGGTGGCGCCGGCTGGCGGCGGCGGCGGCGGGTCGCCAGTCGCCGGCTGAGCGGCGGCGCTCGGCGGCGGCGGCGGCGGCAGTCGAGCGCGTGCGGCGGTCGGGGGTGGTACAGTCCGGTGTGCGGTGCCGAGCAGTGACAGACCCACTCTGAGAGCTGCGCTGTGGTAGCGGGGGACGGCCGGTGTCGCGGTGACCAGTGCCGGGTGATGCGCGCAGAGTGACTGGCGGCCGGGCGGTCCCACCAAACCGGAGGATGGCCGGGTGGCTGGCAGTGATCACAGCCCTGTTGGGGCTACTGAGCCCCGCGCGGGCCAGCGTCAACCTGTGGGTCTCGCGCTCGGAAACCCGCGCTCTGCTCGGTGAGTACTGTAGCCAGGGGCGCCTTCCGTGGTCAGTGGGGGCAGGTGCCCGTGTGTCACGTCCGGGGCGCGCCGGAGTTATTTACGCGGCCACGCGGCCCTGTGACATCCCGCAGAGAGTCCCCGTGACATCCCGCAGAGTCCGGCCACTGTTTATTTGGCAGTGCTGTCTTTGGGCCGACCTGACGCTGGGGATGGTCATCCAGAACGACTGCGGTCAAATTTATGGCCATGTTTTGGGCTGGCCGCAAGATACCCTGCTACGTCTTACTTAAACACAACCGCAGCCTCCTGCGCGTAACTTCGTGATGATTGAATACCCTGGTACTAATGACGCCTGTTGGACGGTAAAAATCAAACTACTGATCAGGTATTCAGTGATGTGAAATCATAAATATTGCCCATGTATAAGGTCAGCCAACCACGGAAAAAATCAAATGGAGATGCGGAAACGAAATGCGAAAAATGAAGAAAGTCAGTTTGGCTCGCTGATCTTTGTTTACAACAGCGGCTTATATTTATGTGTGGCTGGCGATTTTTTTTTTTTGGGGGGGGGGGGGGTGAATCGGGCTAATATTAGCCGCAGCCGGCGATTTTTCTGTTGGTGAAACTGAACTCTGATGCGTTTTGAAGAATATTTTCTCTTTTATCCTGAAATGCATTTTTCATCCACATGTCCTTCTCTGCTGTTCGCATTTCATTTACAATTTCACTTGATTAAAAAAAAATCACACAAATTGTCATATGCAATGGTAATAGGTATATGTTTATGGGCAAGAGAGAAATGATCTCATTTAATTATTCATATTTAAGATTATTTCCATCATATTTGTTATTGGTGCGAGCCACTAGAAACAGCTACACATTCATTGGTTGTTTCTGTTACCGCTGTAAACCGCCAAGTACCTAACACGTCCCCATGAGGTCTGTATGAGTTTGTAATTCAAGAGGCTTGGTCGTTCTTCTTATGGTTGCACAATTAACAATTTTTATTTTAGTGCTTTTTGGTTTCTATTTAAGGTATTTTTGGTGTTTAATTTTAGGTATTTTATGGTTTCTTATTTTTATTTTAGGCTGCACATTTTCTTTTTATTTTAGGTGCATACAATTACACATTTAACATTTACCATGTACCACGCCATGACCATAATTGCTCGTTATACCAAACTTGGTAATTTTACGGAGCTCGAGGAAATGAGCCCCGGTACGGGGCTTTTGTAGCTTTACGTGATAACGGTGCACTCTAACTAACTTTTTTGTTTTGTTGTGCAGCAAGGCTTGTGTCGACTGTCGTTTGCCTAGGAATCAGATGCGAAAATTCACATATAATGTTCCACCTCATAGCACAAAGAAAACTGCCGACGGAGACACCTCCCGTTACCGGCTACATTTATGCAGTCTCTGCGAGTCTCACACCTCATTAGGACGTTGAACTAACCCCCGCTTCCCTCAAACCCCTCCCTCTGGATACACCTATCCAGCAGCCGTGACGGCGCGAGCTCACGTTTCCCCAGGCGGTGTGCCGGCCGTCACAGCCGTCACCCTCTCTCTGCCCCGCCCCGTCTGACCCGACCGACTGAGGCGTGCCCCCGGGGCGTCAGCCGAGACGACTGTCAGCCGCCGCCGCGCGCTAGACCGAGCCAGATGGCCCACGACACCCCCGCAGTCCGCCGCGGGGGTCAGCGACAACACGGCTCCCGTTCGGAGGCCGGAGGAGGTGCCAACTCACTGCAGGCCATCCACTGAGGATGTGGACGGGTGGTTGGAAAAGCAGCAGTGGGTGTAGGTAGACGTGTGATTTATCGAGTCCTGTTTCCTGCATCCGATGAAGTCGAGTTAGTTTTTACACGTGTATAAACATTGGTTTTGACGAGTTTGGTCAGTTTGGTTTGGATGGGTTGTGTGGTACGCGATTAGCCCGAAGGATTGCAGTAAATCCCTATTAGAAAGCCTTATACTACACAAACCAGAAGAACAGGAAGGCAAATGTTAAAAGAAGTCATTTTATTTATGTCTGATTGACATGTAGTTATGCTGGAATATGAGATCAATCAACACTGTCAGATATCTTCCAAGATGGTTAACGCCGCCATCAAACGCCTCCAAACAGCTTCATTCGCTGAACTGGAGTCAAAGATATCATCACCACTCCGAGTTGGCGGCGGATATCAGTAAATCTCTCCTACGACCATTATCACCTGTCCAATCAAAACACCTCAGCGGCATCTCGGGCGTCGCTGGGCGCTTCCGCAGGTCGTCATTGCTGCTGGTGGCAGTTCGCAGCCGGAACTGGGCTGTAAACGCAGCCCGGAGGACACCTGTGCCCGGCGCATGTGCACCCCAGCTGGCCACAGGCGCCCCGGCGCCCCGGCGCGTGGCGGCCGACCCGACCCGGCCCGCCCGGCCCGCCTGGCCCGCCTGGCGTCCCCAGCGTCACCCGCTGGTCGGGATTTTCCGCTTCCGGCGGACGTGGTCCGGCGGTTAGGATAATGAGTCCACTCGATGGGTATATTGGGGGAGGGAACCGAGCTGGACCGATCTGGGGAGGGGTAGTCGCGCCATTAATTGGGGATGATTCTGCCATGATGTGCTTCCGAACCTGGAGAGAATGTGATTGTATGCAGCGTGTTGTGAAATCCATGTCAAGTAGCTACTCGGCATGGGACAGTGTCGTGACTGAACAGGCTGTGATATGATCGAACCGGAGGTTTTCGGCTTTTTAGACATAAAAACAACGATGTGATCTTGTCGTACAAGAGACGTGTTCTGAATCTTCTAGTGCATCCTGAATACCGTATGCTTGAGTTGATCGGGAGGCATTCTTGCAGCCGGCCCTTCCGTGAATCTCTTCACCGCAGACTGACTGGCTGGTATGACGATTGAAACCCCTCGAGGATGTGTCGTGCGCCCGTTTACACCGGTGCTGTGGTCATGGTATTGTGCTTTCGCTGTCTCGCTGTGTGCTATCCCAGTAGGTTCTACACGTCGGTTTGCTGTTTTAACACTACGCCAGCACTGCGTTTGCCCTTCGCCACTCTACAGACGGGAGTTCCGTTATCTGGAAACTACTGCACGGCCATGAGTCGGCCGTCGGTCCCATGGCAGAGATTCGCAGGCTGTCGCGCTGACCCACCGGGAGCAGCCATGGAACGGTTGTGCAATGACTTTTTGTCTCTCTATTGGCATTGTAGATTCGTCTCGGATTTGCCCCATTTCCAAGGAAATCTTACTGTTTTGTTTGACGATGGTGTTTTTTTACACCACCGTTTTATTGCACCGTGTGTTGCCTTTCACATCTTACATGCATCTTGGGCTCCTTGGTAAACATTCCCAATGTTACGGGCTCCGGCGCCGTTAATTGAAGGGGGTACTGGCGGTCTGCTGTTACAGTCTGCTCTCATATGCTAAGCTTCATTGTCACAGCATTTGACGCATTTCCTTTCTAACCCGTCAATTCTGGCCCAGTTGGGGCCGCGGGTTTGTGCGGCTGCGGGTTTGTTGGGTCCATCGGCCCCCTGTGGCCACTCGATCCAATCGGCCGCGGTTGGACTGGTGAGCTGTGCCGATGGGCAGTGTCGCTCCACCGCCCGACGCGACCAGCCGTGACCTACAGCCGCCTCAGTGCGCGGGTGGCCACCGTGACGCCAGGTGCGAGCACGACGTCTGGATGTTTTCCAGGCGCGCCTCGGGTAAACGCCGCCGCGCGCCCGCCGCATCCGGAGCCTCTCGATGTAGATTAAAGGTAGACTGCCACCTTTTTTCCACAAAACGGTTTTCACTAGAGCTGAGCCACCTATGTCCCAGACTGAAGTCGGTTTTCCGAAATTCGAACCCGTTTGCGAGAAATCGGAGACCAAAGTTCAGTTTGATGCCATTTTTTTAGTCCAAGAAAACCGACATCTCTACTGTTTATCGATAACTTTGAAACATGAATTTTCTTATCTTTTGGTAAATATATGTCAAAACTTTGATTGTTTCGAGATCAGAGAAGAATTTTGGAGTGTCAAAATAAAAGTTAAACTTATATATTCAGTAGTTCATTTTTTCCAAAAAAGTGTGGGAAATGGGGTTTAACATGGGCCAGACCCATTCCAAATGAGCCATGATTTTTTTAAATGTTTTACGAACTTAAATGCAAAATAAATTAAACATGGCCAATTTCTCATGAAATCATATATTAGTAAATCATAAAATATCTTACTTTTTCAAATAAAATGTAATAATCTTATGACCTTGAAGTCTAGTGATGTGTAAACATTGTCGCTAGACATTAACCGATTGATAATTGTATGAAAATCGACAATTTTTTCGCGATTCACGTGATGATACTTTGTCAGGTGAATTCTAAAATTTTGTTTTGTCCAGGGAATAAATCATAGGCCGATCTGAGAAAACTTTTTGAAGGTGGCAGTCTTCCTTTAAAGGAAAAGTGCCACCTTCGTGAAATATGAAGATATCGTTGCTTTTCATTTTGACATTATTATTTGTCATGTTCTTTTTAAATCTGGTGCCAGAAGTGCATAATTCGCAAAAAAAGTATGTCAAACTATTTAACATATTGGTACTATGTTTGTACTCTCTACCGCACCTTCTGTATGATGTCATAGCGATGACATCACACTCAAGCCAATCAGCCTTCAGAAGACAGTCTCGTCGGCTTGTGTCAGATTAGCTGATTGGTTAAAGCTGAGCTGATTGGAGCTGATTGGTTAAAAACCAAAGCCTCGCCGCGGGTGGCTGTATTACAGGATAAGAACGCATTCCTGGGATAAGGACGCATTCCTGGCATATTTTCTTTTAAAATTGCCGATACCTACAAATGGAGGCCGAAATCGGCCGTAAGGTGAGACACTCTCGGGGTTTTCGGACACGGGCTACAAGATGGCCATCTCAGTTTCAAACCCCATGTTAAAGGTGACCCTTTTCCTTTAATGGGCCGCTTCCGTTCGGCGGGCCGCGCGGTCGATGATACGCCGCTCAGCTGCTCTATCTCGCTGTCC